TGAAGAACATCTTGTCATATGGGCTCTTTTGGAAAGCCAGTGAGGTGGAGCTATTTGTTTAGCATCAGAAAACTCAGTCAAACAAACAAAACCTGTTAGAAATTCCTGGAAGGGCAGCAACAAGGGCTGGTCAGAAACTCCAACACAGGGCAGTCAGGACCAGCAGAAGGGGAGTAAATGCCTCTTGTACTTGTTGGGTGCTCTTCCCTCTGCTTCAGCTGCTTGCAATGGCCCTTTCATGTCGTTGCTCTGTATATACAAACCTGGTCATTTCTGTGGAAATCTGGATTTTTGCCTTGTTCCCTCTGTGTACTGCTGAATGCCACTCAAAAACAAGGAGAGAAAAACAAAAAAAGGGACTTTGGTCATATTCATTTGCACATAGCAGCAAATGCTGAAGGTCTTCTGAGGCTGCTCTTCAAACCGTTTCACAAGCTATTCATGCCATAAAGCAGGGAGAGCTTGGAAGGTGCACATGCAGCCCACCCTGCCTTAGGTTCCAAAACCTGAACGGTAATATGGAAAAAGCGGAAGCAAATTTGCCAACCATTTCCACCACACTGGTTACAATGAATGGGAGACAACATCGATTAAACACCCTTCCCTTTACACCACAGGGTACTCTTACATGGTGTCCCCACTCTTTCAGATGTGGATTTACTGTGGGGCTGAAGGGTAGCGAGCTTACCCACCTCTTCATCCCAGTGACGGCACGAGTTTGCTGTCTATCTGTGTGTGCAGGTGTTCCTAATCTTGTGACCCCCACTAATGGCCTGAGGTGCCTCCCCCCCATTCCACTTTGCACTGCCTCTGCTTTGCCTGCATACATAGACAACACTTACATAGGTTTTTGAAAGGAAAACTGGGGTAAAAAACCGACCCAGAGATGATGTCAAAAACACTGCTTTACAGGTTCAGCTTTAAGCTACAGAAGTGCTGCGAGTGCTACACTGCTTCTTCAGGACCGCTCCCAAAGTACCCAGGGGAGCAGCAGGAACACAAGGCTCCCTAATGCATGACTCCGGTATCAGGGAGCCACCGGACCAACAACAGACGTATCAGTGCTGTGAGAACTGGTTCATCTGGGGGAGGACCCCACTTACCACAGCCTGATGGGCAGGACACTTCCACAGGCACTGGGAGATAGCTTTAGGTCCCACCATAAAGAAGAAACTAGCCCATGCGCTCTCACTGGGAGTTATTTCTAACCACCAAGAGGGTAAGGGAAATCCAGCTTCTCCAAACCATTAATTTTCTTAGCCTGCTCTGCCTTTTAGCAGTGCAGAGGCTTCCCAGTGGTTCTAGGTTTGACCATTGCCCTGAAGAGCATTAGAGGATATATTCCTCAACATGACTGCCCAAAGACGAGATGCAGTGCCCTGCAAACTTATATACAAAATCTCTGTTGTTTGACCTTCAATGTTTTGCCTGCCTGCCCAAGTGAGCGTGAACCCCTGCTAAACCCAGGTGTCAGAGCCATGCTCTGGCTCAGCATAACCACGTGCTGCGAACGTAACAAGCAGCCTGACCACCAAGGTTAGCGTTCACTGACGTCCCTCTGGGCCACAGCACTCAATGAGGTCAGGCTGCACCCTGTTTCTATGCTTAAGGCACGAGACTTTTTCATAAAGGAGCCTATTCCCTTGTCGCCTATCCCAACCCATCTCTCGAGACAGTTTGATGAGGCCTTGTCTTTCCCACTCCTTTTCTTTTAGTGGATACGGCAGCACAGTGCCGCTCTGTGTGTGTGTGTGCAAGTAAGCATGCACAGATGGAGCGGGGAAAAAAACAAAAAAATCAAGCCTAGAAGCTGACATGGCTGCCTGCTCATGTAAAATTTGTAGCAGGATCTGATGTGTGCCAGTCCGTTACTGGCCCGTCCCCGTAGCCGAAGGTATCTATTTACATAGCAGCTGCATGAGCGTTCTGCGAGTCAGGGCAGTCACATTTTTCCCAGTGCTTCGCCAGTGACCGGTAATGAACACGCTGAGCCCTGCTGGCAAGGAAGGATTAACCACACTGCGATGGAATGGGCTTGATACATTTTATTGGCAATGCTAGTGTCATACGTGGGAACCACAACCCTTTGTCAGACTGTTAGTGTTAACTTGCATGACAAGTATCAGTGACCAACTGTATTTGAAATATAGTTCCAGTGCCTAGAAATAATAGGCATCTTAAAAAAAAAAAAAAAAAAGGAAAGGAAACTCATTCCATCCGCTCAAGCCAACCTTTATAGATCTTACATCTTAAGCACAACTGATGTACTGTAATTGTTATGTGGACTTTAATGTAACCTCTACAGCAGCACACAGACAATGCAGTTCTCTCATTATGCACATGCTTTAGGATCGTTTATTTTAATGCTTTCAAATAAATATGTTCCATGCAGCACACCGCAATAAATAAGGAGCAGCAACTTTCGTATAGTACATCCATTCATAATGTAAGTCACCATGTGAAACACCACATCTAAAGTCTTTGGCCCAGTCCCATACAGTGAAGCACACCACATCTGCACATAATCATATCTGGCTTCATATGGATTTAATAGGACTATGCCAGAAGGGCAATGTGAGCACAAGTTTAACCAGGGGTTCCTAGCTATTAAATACAGCTACTAAGTAGTTAAAAGGCAACAACTAAACCCATAAAGGGTTGATTTGTCTTTTCTTTCTTACTTTTCAGACAGAAATATAAAGTATGAAAATGCTCTGGATATTTTCAGCCTTGTGTAAACCAGCGTGATTAATATGGAATGCTCTGAGCAATACTGGCACGTACACTGGCATCAAAAGCCACAGCAAGACTGACTCTGACACAGAACACCAGCGTACTCGGCGGGGGAAAGCTGCTGTTCTGGTGATGGCGGGCGCTGCTCCTTCTCTTCCTCTAGGCAGACAGCTCCACTGCCCCTTCCTCTTCGCTGTCTGCTCGGTTGGCGCGGATTTCCACCAGGGTCCGAGCGAAGCGGGTCCATTCGTCGTTGTGCGGAACAGCCAGCTGAGGGAGAGACCGACAGGGAATTAGGAGACCGCGTGGGGAGACCAATTATCTTTCTGGCCCAAAATGGAGGCACCTCCTTTGAGGAGAGCTCCTATCGCAACCGGTGCGGTTGTGCCGGTGAAGGACCGGGGCATGGGCCTCACCAACCCGCCGTGGGTTGGTGACGCTGTAAAGTGCTGCCGAGTTCCCAGGACAGATCTGGCAGCTTCCCATTCAGTGCCAGCTAGAAGGAGCTTTTACAGGCAGCGGCAGAGAAAAAAGCTTTATCTGCTTAAGGAAAAGTTTCTTGCTGGAGTGTTGTTGCAAAATCTACTCCTTGGTTAAAATATTTCAGATTTTCCAAACTAAGGCGAGGTCTTGATCTCTGCAAGTATATACATGTATGTGTGACTTGACACATGTGAGCTGGCCACCTGAAGTCAGCGAGGCTGTGCCTGAGTGTAATTGTTTGCAGGACCGAGGTCAATGTGCGCAAGGTAGCAGAGCTTTTACAACACTGTATTGAAACTATTTTCCTGAAGTTCATTACCACTCTTAATAGTAAAATAAATACATTGTGATATTTTAGTTACTCTCCTCTACGTTAAGGAATTCACCACTACAAGAAATGCATTACAATGGAAATGTTATACCAACTGGGTATTGCATTACTGGTCGGATTTTTTATCATCATGCAAGAGCCATTTCCATTAATATCGCTGACGTTTCTAATGAAGAGCTCTTGAACATTAGGCTTCAAGAGGGATGTGTAATCTAAATAGCTAAACTTCCAGACACAAAACGCTTAGTGCTGTGGCAAAATAATACTGCAGTCATTTCCAGCTGGATCCAACACTGCAATTTCTGGAAGATAATGCAAGCTGGGCCTGAGATCATTTGGGGAAAAAAAAAAAAAAAAAAAAACAAAACAAAACGCTGTTTTCTCAAACTTTGTTTTCATTAACTCAAATTCCAGAAAACAGCAACAAGCATGCAGATGAACGATGCACATATTTACTGCCCTCTTGAAGCTCTGTCATCAAGTCCTGAATATAATACAAAAGAGTAACTGTTTCAAGATATTATGCACTGCTTGGTACTGAAGGCAGCAACTGTGTGGAAACTACAGGGCACATAATAAAGTGCTGTCCACCTTAGCAAATGGAAGCCTTTAGACTAAAGAATGAGTATGACCTTAGCTAATACAGTTTGTGGTACCTGACTGACTTCTTTCAAAACACCACCAAAAATGCCAAGCAGATGGCTGGCTAACTGCGTCCATTTGCCACCAGCTGATTACAGGTGCGCACGAGGCTGTATGGAACACTGTACCGGAATACAGTCTAATTATTCTCCTCTCCTTACATCCAAACAGCGATACTGGAGACTAAGAAAAGGATCTGTTACATGGCCTAGCAAGCCCACCTGGGGAAAGAGCTTGTGTATATGCCAAACATTAACTACATATGAAAGCTCCACGTACAATGCTGCAAGTTCAGTGTTAATTGTATGGACAGGCATTTGCAATACTGAATCTAAATATCTCCTCAGTATCTCACTGGTGCCGATCAGTTTTTCAACTATTTTATATCTAGCTTTGCCACTACATCCAATATTTTTGGGAAAAACATAGCGTGTGTTTTAAAGCTTCCGATGTATAGTGCGTGTATCAGTGACTCAGTTACATTATTAAGGGCTGGTGTACAGCGAGTTTGGGGTTTTTTGCCTGTTGAAACACTGAATATAGCACAGTTCACATTTACTGAGGCTACAGACTAGGAAATGCAATCTGTGTGAAAGCCATCTCAGCCCTCAATAATAGATGTCACTGGTTTTCCCTTCTTTGTCTTCCACTTTTTGCATTTTTGTCCTTTACTTTTCCCAGGAACGGAGACCAGCGTTACAGGAGTAAATCATTTGAGACAGCTGTCTCTCACACTCACACACACAGATGTTATGGTCTTTATTTGAAGGAGCTCTGTTCTTTCAAAAATCTTCAGCAGAAGGAAATGTAACACCAGAATGGAGGTCAGTGCACCAACACCCAAGTACCCATAGCACAGGTTTGGTCACAGCCACACACTTACACAAGCTACTGTATAGTAAGTTAGGGGACGGCACAGAGATCCTTCTATCATAGATGCAACCAAAACCAGCTGTACAGCAATTTCCCTGTTACTGTTGCTTGTGTCCTAAAAGATTTTATTTCTTGTGATTTGTATGGCACTGTCATTTATGAAATGCTTGAATGAAAACATGAAATGAGTCTCACTTATTTCAAGTAGTAAAATCATTAAAGTGGAACAATATCCTAGGCAAAGGACTTATGGAATTTAATAAAGCCTCATTTCTCCTTGTCTTTTAAAGTCCTAAACAGCATTACGTTGTATTAAATGGCTGAAGAAGGCAATACGTCATTCTAAAGAAAAAAATCGAATACATTTATGATATTGAGATCATTTAATTTCCTTGACTCCACAGCATGGTCACTGACAAATAAATTCAAAGTCGACCCTATTAAAACAACTTGGTATCTCAAAGTTGAAGAGTCTCCCCACGAATGTATGCATTACATGCATTACTGTTAGCTGACAGTGTTAGCAAGACCTGGGCCGTTTTTAATGACTCAGTTCACAAAACAATTAATGATTGAAGCGAATACCTATAGCACAGAGATGAAAACATTCAGTGCCCACACATAATCTTAGAACTTCATCTTCTTTTACCTTATTTAATCTTATGCACTGCATCATTCTTTCAGTGAAGGGCCAATCCTGTTAATAGACTCTTAGGAGAATAGACCTCTCTAATATAAATTCCTCAGGGATGCAGAGGGAAACCTTGGCAATAATGAAGTCAAAGGAAAAACTGACTTTTGTTCCCTCCCTCCACTTCTTTCTGTGAAGGTCCTAATACCGAACCACAATAGCTGTACAGCAAAAGACCACAAAAAAAACCAAAAGCATCCACAAACTCCAGTTCAAATTCTTCTCTGAATTAATGCTCCCCTTCCAGCCATTTTCCATTCAAGTTGCTTCAGCTGGGCACACTGACACCCACAAGTGCTGGAGGCCTGGGTCTATCTGTGGAATCACTCTTTCAGCTTCTCTGCACAAGTTTTTTCTGTAAATACTAGGGCAGGGGTGGCGGAAACGAGGAGAAACTTCATAGAGGAAGAGCAGAGGTTTGGAGCTGTCTGGGTGTTCCTCACTCATTTGGCGTTTTTGCCGTTTTTCTGTCCACTTCCAGTTACTACAAAGCAGCACGTGTTGGGTCCCTGCAGTCATGATGTCAACGCAGGGTAGAAATGTCCACCAAAGCATAACAATTTAATACAATAACTTATATTAGCATTTGGGTCGGAAGGTTATTTGAATGAACTGACACTAAGGTATGGAGCAGAACAAGAAAATAAATGCTATTAAGTGTTCTCCTTTGATTCCTCCACAATAGAAGGAACCACACCCACACCTAATTAATTGACTGAATTATTCACACTGCTTTAACTTAAATACCATGGTACATTTAGGTTGTGTCAGATAGTAATTCTGATGAGGAAAACCAGTATTATCAAAGCAAGGTGGTGACTTTAGCCAAACTTTTTCTGCTAAGCTGTTGGAAGTGGGGTACTTTTGTCTTCCATCTGGCTTTTAACATACCAAGAGTTCGGGCTGCAAGCCTACCGAGCGGCAAGTGTGACTGCAAGTTTATGCATCCAAATCAACCTGCTTCTTCTGGTGAAGTTACACGTGCTCAGCTGGTTACAGGAGTGAGAATTTAGTACAGGAAAACATCTTCTCAAGATGTTAGGATGGTGAGCCATTTTTAATTGGGTGAAGATATTTAACTCAGGACAATTGGGGTCTCATTTTTCAAGAAAACCCAAAGTTTTCTTTACATCGCAATCAACTTTTTAGATCTCCTTCCCCAATTTACCTTCATAAAACAGTCTTCCAAAAGCACTCAATATCTATGAGTATCTCTGAGTGACTCCTACATGATCAATAACATATAACAAAGGTAACGTACTAAATACTAGGCACACTTAAGATTTTATTATTTAAACTAGTTCACAAACTGTTTTTCTTGCTGACATTAAAGTACTGATTTATGTGATGCAAACTCCCAGAATTACTTTTTCCACCACCTCCATGACTATGATTTTAGATAAACAGATTTTGGATAAGATAGCTCTCCAGCCTGCTCCTCCTCCCTGAATGGCGCAGCACAGGTAGGGTGGCTGGCAAAGGACAGCCTCCCTGGGCAGCACCTCCCGGGCAGCAGTCTTCACAGCCCCAGGCAGAGCTAGCCCAGCTGAGCCCCCAGACTCAGACCAGCTATGTCCTGCACACAAGGGCTGATACGCAGCAGCCACGATCAATACTAAGCACCAGAGAGGTGCATTGGTAATTTCAGCAAGCCCTTGGATTTTTGAACCTTCTGAAGTTCCTCTGTGTTTCCTTGGTGATCACTCTAGCCAAGTATTCCACTTACCCGTTAGCTTTCCAGCCCTGAAGCACAAACACATGCCCCCCTCGACGCTAGTACTGACCAAGGAGATGGTTTATGTGCATCTGGTAAGAGAGTAACAGAGCCCTCTCCGCCCGAGGCCCCCCAGGCCAGCTAGTTGCAGGTAGCAGCATGCACGTGAGTTCCACCAGGAACAGCCTCTTCCATCTTCTCGTCAAGGCAGGATTTCCTCTGTGTGCAGAGCTCCCAATCAATCCATACACCAGAGTTCTTACAAATACAAACTGTATTTCCCACGTTTTCCCAGAAACTGTGCTGTTCACTGAACCCTACTACTCTTAAAACTGTAAGACAGAACTCAGGAAAAGGAGATACTCTGGCCAGACAACTCTTGATGCTGCCATTTGTGTCAGCTGGTACCGGCCTCCCCAAGCAAAAAAAACAGTGCCTGAAGACACAAATCAACATAAATTTCTTTTCATTTTCAGATCATTTAACACGACCTAGTAACATTTGCTCTTTTAAATTAGGTCTATTAAAAGGAAAAA